TGGCCCTCTGGAACGATCTCCCCGTCAAGATCCGGATCCTTACCATCATTCCGGCTTTCCGCAAAGCTATTAAGACCTGGCTGTTCTGGCAGGCCTGGGGCTGTTGAATCTTCCAGCCCCATCTGTGGTACGAATGTTGCTGTATTTTTAAATTGTTTGTCTTTTTATTTTTATTTTGTACCCCTTTTGTATCTCCCCCTCAGATTGTTAGCCGCCCTGAGTCTCTCGGGAATACAAATTAAATAAACCCTTAAACACAACCCTGAGGTGGCCCAGTGAAATCGAGTTTGACCCCCCTGTCATAGGTGGATAACTACTTCCACACAAGTTAAGAGAACTTTTTTTCCCTAATCCTACTTCCTGTGGGAAGGGATGCTCCCACTTCCCGAGTTTTATTTATTTATTGAATTTACATAGCTGCCTATTCGCCCATGGCTTAGGTTTACAGAATATAAACCCACATTTAAAACAATAAAACTAATAAAAAGAATCAAATAAATTAATATAGTATAATATAATAAAATCACCCCCTGCCCCAGAAACAGCAGATCACATGAGCCATTTAATGGGCTCCATCCTGCTGCGAGCTCGCCAGGCCTGCTGGCAGAACCAGGTCTTCAGCGCCTTCTGGAAGAGTACTAGAGAGGGGTCCATTTTGATCTCTGGGGAAATGATGTTCCAGAGAGAGGGAGCTACCACAGAGAAGGCCATTCTAGATGCCACCAGCTGTATCTCCCTCGGGATGGGACCCACAGCATTCCCTGCCTCCCTGCTCTGATGGGTCAGTTAGATGTGACCGGCAAGAGATGGTCCCTCAGATATGAAGGGCTTTAAAGGTGACAACCAACTTCTTGAATTGCACCCAGAAGCAAATTGGCAGCCAATGCAGCTCCTGCTGGAGAGGTGATACATGTGCACGCCTGGGTCTGCACAAAACCATGGGGGCTGCTGCATTTTACACCACCTGTAGTTTCCGACTGTTCTTCAAGGGCAACCCACGTAGAGCACATTGCAATAGTCAAGACGGGAAGTGACATGGACATGAGTGACTATGAGTAGGGGTTGTTGGTCTAGGAAAAGGCATAACTGGTGCACAACCTTCAGTTGCGCAAAGGCCTTCCTAGCCATGGCCGCCCCTCATCTTTGAACAGGAGTCATGAGTCCAGGAGAAAGCCCAGATTACATACAGGCTCTGTTTGGAGTAGTGCCACCCCCTCCAAGATGAAAGGTGGCAATTCTCCCTGAGCCAACAAACCCCAAACCCAGAGCCATTCAGTTTTGCCAGGGTTTAGTTTCAATTTGTTGCTCCCCATCCAGTCCCTAAGAGCCTTGAGGTACTGCGAGAAGGCGGACACAGCATCATTTAACTCACCACGGGCGGAGACATACAGCTGAAAATACCAGTATATTGGTGATACCTCAGTCCATGGTGATGGATGATCTCACCCAGCCACCCATATAAATGTTGAACAGGAGTGGAGAGAGCACCAAACCTTGCAAAGCAGAGAGAATATAGTTAACAGGCAGAGCTAGTTGTTAGTCTGGAGCAAAATGGAATGTTCTTATAATAATATACATTGATATTTTTACGTGGAAGTGGAGTGTTTGGGTGCTTAAAATCTGAACAAATGTATATTATAGTTGTAGAGACATACTGCTGGGAAAGCATGATAGTAACTATCTCAAAATGTTCAAAATTCAAGTAGTATCTGGTCTCCAACAAAGTTCCCAGCATTCATCTTACTCTTCGTAGGGGATCCTAATTTAATAAATTAAAAGATGTAGCAATATCTTTCTGCAGGCTGTTTCCCATCATTAATGTGAATTATGTATTACTTTTGTAGGTGCCCAGCACAGAAACATGCAACCTTTTAGTGATGAAGATGCATCAGTTGAAACTATGAGCCACTGCAGTGGCTTCAGTGATCCTGCCAGCTTCAATGAGGATGGTATGTCAATATTTGGGCTTATATGAAAAAAATCTTGATAACATAGCCTCCCTTTGGAGATAATTTTGGTTGGAATGTAATACACCATTTTAAGTCAGCTCATAAGCAAAAGAATGATTTGCAAAGTATAAGGGCTGTTTGCAGACCCCAGTGTGCATTTATATCCTTCCAGGTATCTGTTCATGATTCTTTTTCATTTCTATCCAAACATCCTTCATCCCAGACCCATCAAAGGTGAATTTAAGAATGGGAAGGGTATCTCTGTCTTCACTTCATTATTACAAAATTGAAAACTTCAGTTTTGCTACTGAAAATATGAAAATATTGGCAGAGGAATGTTGTACATCAACGAGACATTTCAGAAACAGGAGGGTATTGCAGAAATGAATGTTGAATATAGAGAATGAGATAAATAACAGGTGGGTTAGCAGAGAGGCTTGCAGAAAGTCCTTAATAAAGCTTTTTCAAAATTATTTTGCTAATCAGATTGGGAAATTTTATTGAAAGAGATATTTTAAAATGATAAAATGCTGTCATGCATATGTAACTTCTATTAGATTTGTGAAGACCTTTTTTGTGTGTCTTATTTGGGAGAGATAATTGGAAGGTAGCTGAAAGAGAATCATTTGCAACTGCTGCCTGAATGCAAAAGGGGCACTTTGGGGAAAAAAGTACTAAATCAAAATATTTTCCTTGTCCATTCTGAAAAAAAGAATTATCAGAATAGTCATGATAAGATAGTGTGCAAGGATATTCTTTTTTAAACAGTGACAGAACATCCATAAATATTGATGGCAGGCTTAGCATACATTGCATTTACTTTATATTCATGTATTTTATTCATTCTGCTTTTATAAAAACTGTAAGCATGTCTCATAATGATTCATCTGTCATTAATAGAACATAACAAGATCTGTGATGAATAGCTGGCCAGATAGAATTGGAGAAATAGCAGATAAATTACATCCACTTGAACCTAGTGATCAGTTTTGCATAAGTTATGTATAAGTTTAGATGTTAATATGTTATATTCTATTTTCTATTTTTTTTTTGCCATGTAATACAGGAACTGAGATTGATGACGAAGCAACCCAAGAGAACTTGGAATATAAATTGAAAGGGTTTATTGACTTGACTTTGGACAAGAGGTAGGGAAGATCTGAGAAGTTCACTCGAGTAACTCTAGTTCATGGGTTGGAGGTTATGAGGGCTTTACTGCTCAAATCATGTGCAAGATTGTTTTTGCAGCTATCGACAAATAACTTTTATTTCACCATTTTTACCAGTAATTTTAGCTATTAGTAGTGTTGTAAATGTAGCTACCGTATTTTTTGGAGTATAAGACGCACCTTTCCCACCCCCAAAAAAGATGGTGAAAATCTGGGTGCATCTTATACACTGAAAACAGCATTTTGGCCTCCTGAAACCCCACCCCTTTCACAAAAATGGACGTGCAGAGGATTTTGGAGGCCTGCAAAGAGCTCCTGAGGGCTGGGACGGCAAAAGTGAAAAATTGGCAAAAAAAAGGACATGCTCGTTTTTTGCTTGTTTTTGCTACCTGCCCTCCCCCCCCCCCCCCCCCCCGGAGCACTTTGCAGACGTCTCAAACCCTTTGCATGCCCCGGTTTTCCCAAAAAATGAAGCGTGCAGAGGGTTTGGGAGGTCTGCAGGGTGCAAAAACTTTTTTAAAAAATTTACCTCTTCAAAATCTTGATGCGTTTTATACTCTGAAAATACGCTAATTTAAATTTAGACTTCACAGTTTGTTTACTGCTTTTTCCCCTCTTATTGTTTGTTGTTATTTCTCTCTCAGAAGTTTTTTTAAAAAATTGGAATTTTCCTTTTTCAAATCTTAACATTGCAAACTTTAGTTTTAGCTTACTAGTAGACAGCCCTGGATCTTTTTGGTTATCATTTCAGAGATCTTTCCTTACCATATTTCTCAATGGTAGAGCTTCTAATGTTCTGGAAAATTTCTTTAAAAATTCAGGGAGATATTCAGAGATACATCTGTATTGAAAGTATCTCAAGTATTTAATTTACACCTTATGAAATGTTTTCTGATATTTTATATCATAAAATGTTTTATGATCATTTTATTTGCCAAATTTGTCAAATTTCAATATCATGGAAATCATAGATTGTGTAAATTAGCTCACTTGAGGTACCTTAGGTGAAAAAGGCAGTGTTTTTCCCAGTTAAAGGTTACAGGCACAAGAGTTTTTAGTAGTATATAGATAGTATGTCATTTATGATTGTGTTCTTTACAAATGTGTAAGAAATCTAAAAGGGAATTGTATAATTTTTATAACTGATATTTTAGCATGAATTCCTGCATTTTATCTCAAAAGTACAAAGACGAGGCAGTCCGCTCTTGATGGTCTGAAAAGTGCTTTGACATCAAAAATGCTATACGAGTTCATCCTGGAAAGGAGAATAACACTCACAGACAGTATTGAACGTTGTATCAAGAAAGGTAATACCATTCTGTCTTTCTGAGAAGTAATATTCTGTTAATGAAATCCATTGTTTTTCAGATGTATTTTAATCATGATTTCTTACTGGTTTTCATTGTAGGCAAGGGTGACGAACAGTGTGCAGCTGCAGGACTGGCTTGTCTGCTCTGCATACAGTTGGGGTCAGGAATTGAAAGTGAGGAAGTCTTTAAAACCCTTGCACCTCTCCTAAAGAAAATACTCTGTGATGTCTCAGCAAATATGAAAGCTAGGCAAGCTGTAAGTATATAGATGCTAGTTGTTATTCCCTAGTGATATTTCAGTAAGCTTCTAAGGAATCAATATGCTTATTACCTAGTCTGGATGTCGGCAACCTGTGGCTCTCGAGCTGTGTGAGCTCTTTTGCCCCTCCTGCAGCTTCCTGTCATACTGCCAGTAGTTAGGTTTTTCAGCAGTTCCAGCTGACCTCACCACTGGCTGGCCCTGCCCATAGCCCCTCCCTCTCCCAGTCACTACTTGCCTGACCTGAGAAGAGAATTGCTCCGGGCCCACTATGCTTGTCTTGTTGCTAGGGGCGAGTGGCGTAGGGTTGCATTGTGGCTCTGTGTCGTAATGGGTCCTGGGAGGAGGGAATCTGTCTCCTCTATTGTGAAGCCACTAAATTTTGCTGTGCACTGCTAGAACGCCTCATGGCCTGCCCGCTGCTCTTGCAGCGCGTTGCACAGGACAGTGAAATTTAGTGCGTCTCCCCGAGCATCCGAGGCACACCCAGCACGAACAAAGGCTGGAAATAGCTGCCCACTTGCTTCAGTCTGTTGGACAGTGAGACTCCTGGATGAGATGCCAAAGAATCAGAATCAGAGAGAGAGGAGGAGAGGAGAGAGACAGAGGGGGGGGAGAGGCAGGGGGGAGAGAGATACAGAGAGGGAGAGAGATACAGAGAGGAGGCGAGGTGGGGTAGAGATACAGAGGGAAGGGGAGAGATATATGGAGAGAGAGAGAGTGGGGAGAGACACAGACAGAAATACAGAGAGGGGAGAGAGAAAGGCAGGGTGATAGGGGGACAGAGATACATGGAGAGGGGGAGAGGGAGTGTGAGCAGGAAAGAGATACATAGAGGGAGAGAGAGAGACAGGATGAAAAGGGGGAGAGACACAGATGCAGAGAGGTACATGGAGAGAGAGAGATACAGATGTGAAGAGAGGGAGGGTGTGGGAGAGAGAGAAACGGAGGAGGGAGATACAGAGAGGAGAGAGAAATACAGAGGGGGAAAGAGAGGAAGGGGTGAGAGAGAGAGATAGCGAGATAAGGGGGGATCATTTGACATTTTAGATGTCAAAAGGGGTTTGTGGATCCCGGTGTTTTTTAATAACTGGTTCTCTGCCCTAATGACCGGTTGGGTGAGCATGGCTAGGGGGTAATGTGACTGGGTGGGAATGAGTGACGTTGAGTTGGTCACATCCACCCAGGTTTTGTGGCTCCCAGTGTTTTCTATGGGAAATGGCTCTGAGTGTTTAAGGTTACAGACCCCTGACTTAGTCAAATATTCAAAAAGCAAGAACTTTTGTCACCTTTGTGGCAAGTCTGCTGAATATAATTCATGATGGAAAAAATTTGAAAGATTTCTTGTCAAACAGAAAAACAGATTATCCATGGAAAGATTAGAATGAATTCAGCAAGCAAACAGCCCTTGAAAGAGGAAAATAGTAATGATATATAATTCCTTGAACTTCAAAATCTGGTCAAAATAACAGTGAAGAGTTTAGACTTGGACTAGTAGCATTCTTAGTCCTGTTGCATGTTGTGTTGCTAGTTTCCTCTTAAAACACTCTTGTCAGCATTTCAAATATCATCCAGAAATAAATCAGAGTCCAAGGCAGAACTATCCTTAAACTTCCAATTTAATAAGACAGGCATGTTGGCACATCTGTAGCAATCCCGAATCTGAAAGCTTCCTGGGTTACCACCCAGTTGAAAGTTCAATATCTTGCCCCCACACCCACAAGTTCATCACATGGTCCAATCTTCCTCTGCCACGCTGGCATTTCCACCCATCTAGTTCCTGTCAGGTGCAGAGACAAAGAATGACCTTGATTTCTAGAACGGAATGACAACACATTCTACAATTCTACTTCTTACTATTCCCCCTCCCAATTACTATACTAATAGAAAAGCGTAGAAAAATAATAGTGTGTGGCAGGCCAAAGAGCCTAAAAGGAATATAACTGCAGGCCTGAAAACTCGTTTAAACACTGCGTGATTGGGAGTGTACAGATAATGTTGCTCTTCCAGAATAGGTTTTTTTTAAGATTACATAATCCAATTTTAAGACAAATAAAACTAGATCAGCTATGATAGAGTCATAGATATGATCACCATTATGAAAATACTAGAAAAATATCATGATTTTTAATTTCTCTTTTCCAGTCTGCTACCTGTTTAGGGGTTTGTTGCTTTATTGCTACTGATGATATCACGGTAAGATTTTTTTTATGTTAAGTATTACTATTTAATGCTCAATTAATGTTTGCTTAATAGTGTTTTATTAATTTTTAATTAGGAATTATATTTGACTATGGAATGCTTGGAAAGTATATTCAAAAAATCCTACCAGAAAGAGAGAAATCAAAATGGTACTTCCAGCACTCATAACACAGGTCTTTATATAAGCGCTCTCTTGGCATGGACCCTTCTGTTGACCATCTGCCCAATGAATGAAGTGAAGAAAAAGCTTGAAGGGTATGTATTGTGTTCCTTGGCAGTCATCTTTGGAGTGAAACATGCTGAATCATTCTAATTATAGGTTAAGGGTAGGAAGCAGCCTTATCTAAAACCCTATTGGTTTAGCTTAACAGGATAAAAAAGGAAGAAGGGATGCCATTTTTCTCCCCTTTCTTTATTTTAATGTTTTTCCTGTTTTGGCTGCAATTACTATGCCAACAGGATATAATTTGGGGGAATTGGAAAGTTTAATATTACACAGTTTGTGATATATGAATGGAATGTCCTCTCTTGATCTCCATCAATGCAGAGATTCTGCTATGCAAAAAAAAAAAGCAGACATTCTAGTTTGAAAAACTTTCTCTTTAATCCTGGAAGTAAATCAGAATATCTGAGGGTCCTTGGAATTAAATTCTGTGCACTATAACACTTTATCTCATATCTGTTTGTCATATTCAATATATTTATTGTAAGTATTTTGATTTTCCTAGACATTTGCATACATTTCCTAGCCTGCTGTCCTGTGATGATGTAAATATGAAGATTGCTGCTGGGGAAACATTGGCTGTTTTATTTGAACTTGCAAGAGAATCTGATGAGGTATATCCAAAGAAATAGAAGGCAGAAAGTAGGGAGAAATAGTAAATATTTGGTATGGTGTTTTCATAATATTACTTTTTCATTCAGATGTGAAAATGAAAGGTGTTGGTAAATCTACAACTTCTCAAGTGGTATTGAATTATAATATTGCAATATTGGTATGGAGGAATTTTGAGAAATCTTCAAACATTTGGAGAGTTACAAGTTTCTCCATCTGTATACATGGGCACTCTTAAATAAAAGCATGTTAAACCCTATCCATGTAGCTAGTTCAAATTTAGCATATTAATAGCTTGTTTGGCAGCAATCAGTGATACATAAATTATTAAAATTCTATTATGATTTGCAGTCCTTCTTAATAACAATCTCTTAAATGTATTAAATGCATGCATTTTTAGTACAAACAGTAAATTGAGTCATACACTTTTGAATGTTTTGAATCTTTTAAATTATATAGATTTAGACTTCAATAATTGTTTAGTAAGTCTTTATTAATATCTTTACTGTTTTCTTTAACAGCGCTGAAGAATAGTCTCAGATTATTCAAAAGCCTATCTTGGGAAAGTAGCTAGAAAAACGCTTGGCAACAAAGGATAAGAGAAAAAGAATAAAGGAGTCAAGAAAGCCATTGTGTTGCACAGTTTTTAAATATTACTCTGATGTATGCAGTTGAAATTTGCAGTTTTAGCTTGAGCTATGGCAATCTAATTTTGAAAGGAAGAATAATGAACATGGAAAGCTTTAATCCTTTATGGTAGTATCTGACTTTAGTTAATGGAAATTGATTTTCATATTTTCTTATATATGGTTGTCCTTGTTCTTTCTCAAATAACAGGCCTTCCTTTGCATACTTATAGCTTAATAGCTAGTGTATAGCTGTTAAATTTCCCCTGCTAATTGTAACTACAGTGATTGGGGAAATGACAAGTGAAAGTGAATGAGACGAGATGAAACAGAAGAGAGCAGATACTTGGCACTGAATAATTGATATCCATGATGCAGGAAGTAAAAGGTGTGGGATAAATGGCTGTTTCAGAAGCAACGCATTTAGTATATGTTGAACCAGAGTTCTTGAATCAGCTTTCTAATGCAAATGCTATTCATTTGGAAACATATTAACACAATGAACTGTAGACTATGATTAGTTTATACTAATATATAAATTTAGATTGCCTCTGCTAAAGTCCAATGTTTGGAAATGGGTGAATTATGAATTAAAACATTTACAGAAATCTCATTCTGCTTAGAGAATTCAAAGGAAACTGCATTGGTAGCAATCCTTTCAATATTGTGATAGGGTAATCTTAAATAATGATAACCTATTGTGTTATAGCTTAATTATTTTAAACAATAAAGCATATAATTATGATAATGTGCCAATTTACTGGTCTTTGAAACTTGAACTTCATTAAGATGCAACAAACAACTTCTCTATTTCTTTAGGATTTTTTTTATGAGGATATGGAGCTCCTAACACAGAAATTGAAGGCCCTGGCTACAGATGGAAATAAGCATCGTGCGAAAGTAGACAAAAGGAAACAGCGATCGGTCTTCAGGGATGTCTTGCAAACTATAGAGGTAAACTAGAACAAAGAATAAATTTTATTTTACCTCTTGGAAGTAATTTTAAGACCGAATTTCTTTATACACTTGCATGCAAAGATTTTAGATTCTGCTCAAATTCTGTTTCACTTAATCCTTAATCAAATAGAAGCAGAGAGAATGCTTACATAGTGCTAAGTTAAGATTTTCCAAGATCGCGGCAGCAGAGGAAGCAGTATCCGATTATGGGGAGAGAAGTTACTAAATGAAGTAGAAAGGTATAAGGAGAGGAGAAAAAAGGAGCAGGAAGTTAGATGAGGAAGATAGAAAGAATAAAGTAAAAAAAAGAAATTGGGTTAAGGTGAAAAACACCAGCAAAGCAGCAACACAGCGAATTAATGGTTGCATGTCGAGTCGGAGGCAGTCGGCAACAGAGAACAATAGATCCAGCTTAGGAGCCCAACTAAACAGCCCAACCCTGGAAAAGAGGTAACTGAGAGGAGTGAACCAGTGGCTGAACAGCGGACAAGCAAGGAGGTTGTTGGAGGCAGTGAGCCGGTGGCTCACAATATTAATTGCCTAGGCCCATACTCCAATCTAGGCAGCCTGACTCAAGAGACCAGCCAGGAATCCCAACCCAGGGAAACTAGAGGCAGCCCAACTACCACAGCCCTCACCCTGCGTCCTTCCAGCCCAGCAGCCCTCCCCAGTGACCTGCCCCAGGAGTTGTGGAAGACTTGATCAACATTCCCTCACCAGCGAGTTCAGCCTCCCTATCTGCTTCCTATTAGCCTGGCAGCCCTTCCCTGCGGCCTGTCTGGTGGAGGGCAAACGGCCTGGTGTAACCCATCCAACAAAGGGAACTACTGTCTGAGAAATTGGTGGTGGTAGAATTAGCGGAGGGGAGAAACGCAGCAGCAGAATAGAAGGAGGAGATCATAGCAGCAGAGATAGGCAGCACAATGGCAGAGGTGCATCAAATTAGAGAGCTCTGATCTCTAAAGCTGAGTGGCAGACGGAGTGGAGCAGACCAGACAGAGCTGAAGCAGAGTTGAGCTGACTGGAAAATTCGGCAGACCGAGAAAGCTGGCTAGAGAAGAGACGAGGAGGCCCAAAAGACCTGAGTACCTGAAACACAGAACAAAGCTGGCAGAGAAGATGACAAGAGGCTGCAGCAGCAAATGATGGAAGTGAACACCACAAATCAAGGCAGAGGTCCAAATAGGCAGGGAGGGAAGACCCCAGTAGAGAATAAAAATAAATGCAAGACAGAAAATAAAAGATAAATAAATAGGCAAATAATAAGGACAAGAGTGGAAAATTAGAAATCAAGGAAGAATAGAATTAATAAAGATCAATCAAATAAGCACATCATAAATAAGGCAAATCTTAAAGATGGAGAGCTGGAGCTCAAAAACTTTTTTTTAAATATAGGGAATAAAGGGGTAAATAAAACTAACAATAGTAAGCAAGTAAATAAATAACAAGGTATAAAAACAAGCACAAAAAGGCAGAAAAAAGGATAGAAAAAAAATACAAAATGTTTTACCCTTAAAGGAACCAGCAAAAAGAAACTCATTGAACAGGTGAATGATACTATTGTGGTATGCAGTACACGTTCCATGTATGTGTTTATGCCCAAAGAACACACAGATTATATATGTGTTAACTGTAAGCTGTGTGAACTACTAGAGGAAAAAATAAGGGATCTAGAGGCAGCTCTAGCCAAGCTCCAACCTACACAAGAAAGCTATGCCCAAATTGAACCAACTAATGACCAAATAACTCCCAGAGGATTTGACCCTGCTGAGAAACCCTTGGAGGAAGACAAATGGAGGTATGTCACTCATAGAAAGATACACGATGATCAAAGAAAGAAGCAGCACACATCTAACAAACCCCTGCTAACCAATCTAACCCAATCAGAAGCAGCCCCATTAAAACTAAGCAACCGATTGTTCCCCCTAGTTCAAAATACCAAGATCCACAACCTCCCCCTCAAAGAAAACATGCAAATGCTTAGAAAAAGACATAATCAAATAAGCCTTTAAAAGTCACAACACACCTGAGATAAACAGAAAAGCACCTCAGACTGCACCCCCCCACCCCCCCAAGGAAGGCAAGTGTTGGTAGGAGATTCTTTTCTTAAAACCAGCCATTTGCACACCAGACATGCAATCTAGGGAGGTGTGTTGTCTCCCTGAAGTAAAAATCAAATATGTATCAGAGAACCTAAAGCCCGCATATTGCTATCCTTTCCTCCGCCTTCACATTGGGTCGAATGACACAACCAAGAACCTGAGTACAATATTGAGAGATTATAAGCAACTAGAAAACAAAGTTAAGGAGCTAATAGCACAAGTAGTGTTCTCGTCAGTATTCCCAATACCCATGGGAGTATGGGTGAACACCCATTGAGGGAGAAAAAAATTCTCCCCAAAACCACTGGCTAAAGGGTTGGTGTCGCCAAAAAAAAATTGGAGCTTGGATTGCATTATGGACTGACAGCATTGCGGTGGTGCAGTGGTTAGAGTGCAGTGCTGCAGGCTATTTCTGCTAATCACCAGCTGCCAGCAGTTTGGCAGTTCAGGTCTCACCAGGCTCATGGTTGATTCAGCCTTCCATCCTTCTGAAGTTGGTAAAATGAGGACCCAGATTGTTGGAGGCAATATGGTGACTCTGTAAACCCCTGAAGTGGTATATAATTCTCAGTGCTATTAATGTTATCTTCATGAAGGACTTTTGGCAAGGGATGGGCTGTACCTCATAAACACATTCCGAAAAATGTATTTGAAAAAAGACTGTCTCAACTCATCAGAAGGGCTTTAAAACTAAAATTGAAGAGGGAGGGGGACCAATATTTAGAATCTCTAGAAAAGGGATGTTAAACTTGCGTCACATTGTCACATGACATATCAGGACTTTTTCCCCTTCGCTAAACCGGGGGTGGGCATGGCCAATATGTGACGCATCCAGCCCATGGGCCATGAGTTTGACACCCCGGCTCTAGAACACAAAACCAATCATAAATCCCAGGAAAAATCAATGAGGTAAGAAGTGATGAGAAAAAAGAAAAACTCAACTATGAGATGCAGTAAACATACCTATGTACAGGCATAAAAGTCTTAAATGCTTATATGCAAATGCTCAAAGTTTGAGGAACAAATGGTGAACTAGAAGCAATAATACACATGGGCAGGTATGACATAGTTGTCATTACAGAAACCTAGTAGGATAAAACCTATGACTAGAATGTACTGGTGGATGGATACAAATTGTTCAAAGAAACAGATCTACAAAAAGAAGAGGTGGAGTTGTACTCTATGTGAGAGATCACTACATATCTACAGAAATGCAGATGATCAAAGATAAACCCCCTCCAGAATATATATGGGTCACTATAAAGGGGGGGGGAGTGACATTGTCATAGGTGCATATTACAAGCCACCCAACCAATCAAGAAATGGATGAACTCTTTGTCAACCAGTTAACAAACGTGTCATGCCCCTGGAGTCTGAATCTGCTGAGGAAGATGAGCTGGAACAAGAACTGACAGAGACAGAGAGGCCGGCTCTGTTGGCCTTGGAGGAAACGTGGAAAGGGCAGAGTCAGTCCAGGCAAGGCTTTTCTGAATTAGTAAGGCCTGCAGACAGGGAGAGCTCAGGAGAAGAGGAAGGACTACCCGCTCCTGATCTGAGAGCAAGGAGGGAAGAGAGATGGTGAGATCAATGCAGATTGAGCTGGATACGAGGGAGAAGAGTGCCCCGCCCCCTTTCACAAGACACACCTGGGGACTGAGTTGTAAGCAGGTGCTGGGGGGAGGGGAATTTGTCGGGAACAAGCGTTTAATCTGTGGAACCTTGTGTGCACTTGCCAAAGCCTGGAGAATTGCTGTACTCTGTCCTGTAGGGCTTGCCAGTTTGCTTGCTTTGCTGAACTTCTTGCTCTGGTTAATATTTGGGCTAACCTGGCTTATTGGACTGCTGGCCCTGGTTGCTGTTTGGTTAACCTGGCTTACTGGACTACTTGCAGCCAGAGGCTTCTGAAGGTGTGTGTGAGAGCTTTGTTCCAGGACTTGTAGTGAATTGTGGAAACATGTGGGGGCACAGTTGAAGCAATAAAGGGGAGTTAGACCTGTTCTCTGGTTGTGTTGCTTTTGTGCCACGTCCTGGGTCATCACAAAATGTATGTAGGAAGCATACCACAGTAATGGAGACTTTAACTATCCAGATATCAACTGGGAGACAAACACTGCAATGAGTGGGAGATAAAATAGATTCCTAACCAACCTAGATGACAACTTTGTCATCCAAAAGGTAGCGGGGGAAACTAGAAGTAAAACTATACTCGACCTAATTCTTACTAATATAGAAGAAGTGATAGAGGGAGTTAAAGTTGCCGAAACCTTGGGTGAAAGTGATCACGTCATACTGGAATTCAATATAATGCAAACACAAGCAATAGAAAATAATCCAACCAGTATCTTATACTTTAAAATAGCCTAGGAAAGATTCCAGGAATGGAAATCCTAAAGGGAAAACAACTCAAGAAGTGTGGGAAACTGAAAAATGTGATCATAAAAGCCCAGTCCAGCACAATATCACTGAAAAAGAAATTCACGAAGAAACCAGCATGGATGCACAAAGATCTCTGACACACTGAAAGACAAAAAGGACAACTACAAAAATGGAAAAGGGAACACTTAACTAAGGCTGATTATAAGTAGATAAGCAGAACATGAAGTCAGGAAAGCAAAGGCTCATAATAAAGAGTTGCAACAAAAGTCAAAGATAATTTTTAAAAAGTTTCTTCCAATATATAAATAAGAAAAAAAGTAAAGGAAACGATCCATTAAAGAGAGAAGATGGCAAGGAAATAACAGGCAGTAAGGAGAAAGCAGAGCTGCATAACTCATTCTTCACATCAGTCTTCACTCAAAAAAATTATAGCCCAACATACCAAAAAAACCTACAAGACAAACTAAACCTAAAAGACAGACTGGAAATAAAAATTAAAATAAGCAAGAAAATGGTAAGAGAACACCTTGACAAATATAAATCAATGGGACCTGACAGATTACATCCCAGAGTTTTGAAGATGTTGGCAGATGCTATCTCAGAACCATTGTACCATATCTTTCAAAAATTCTGGAACACACGGGAAATACATGACGATTGGAAAAGGGCTGTTCTTCAAGAAAGGAAAAAAGCAGGCAAAGGAAACTGCAGACCAATCAGTCTAACATCAACACTTGGGAAGATCCTGGAAAAGATGATTTAAAAAAAAACATCTGTGAACAACTTGAAGTAAATAAAGTTATAACTAGTAGCCAGCACGGGTTTGTTAAAAACAGATCATGCCAAACCAATCTTATTTCTTTGATAAAGTCACTAAATTAGTAGACCAGTGAAATGCTGTGGACATAGTATACTTAGATTTCAGTAAGGCATTTGGCAAAGTAGACCACAACCTACTTCTTGGTAAGCTAGAAAAATGTGGAATAGACAACATCACCACCAGATGGATTTGCAGCTGGCTGACAAACCATACTCAACAATGAGTAATGATACTACATCCACATGGAGAGAAATAAATAGTGGGGTACACTAAACTGGCAGGAATAGCCAACACCCCAGAATATAAGCTCAGGATCCAAAAAGATCTTGACAAGCTTGAACAATGGTCTCTATCCAACAAAATGAATTTTAATGTGGAGAAAAGCAAAGCTTTACATTCAGGCAGGAAAAATCAAAGGTGCAAGTACAGATTAGATGAGACCTGGCTCAAAAATAGTAAGAGAGCTTGGAGTCCTAATGGATTATCACTTGAATATAAGCTAGCAGTGTGCAGCAGCAGCCAAAAAAGCTAATACAATCCTGGGTTGTATAAACAGGCATAAAATCAAGATCATGTGAAATATTAGTACTGCTTTAGAAAACCCTAATAAGACCACACCTGGAATACTGCAACCAATTTTGGTCACCATACTACAAAAAACTTCGTAAAAAGTTCAGAAAAGAGCAACAAAGGCCTGGAGACTAAAACATGAAGAATGGATGCAGGATTTGGGTTTGGCTAGTCTAAAGAAGAATTAGGGGTAACATGATAGCAGTATTGTAGTATTTGAGGAGTTGCCACAAAGAAGAGGTCAAATTATTCTCCAAAGGCCAGAAGGCAAGAGAAGAAACAGTGGTTGGAAACTAATCAAAGAGAGAAGCAACCTGGAATTAAGGAGAAACTTCCTAACAGTGAGGACAATTAACCAATGGAACAGAAGTTGCCTTCAGAAATTGTGGGTGCTCCATCACTGGATGTTTTTAAGAAAAGACTAGACAGTCACTTATCTGAAATGTTATAGGTTCTACTTGAGCAGGCACGGCACTGGGCCAATCCCAGTGGGACGAGATACTCCCTCAAATAGCCTGGACCCCTGCCATGAAGAGCTTTAAAGTGATAACACCTTGAATTACACCTCGTTGAATGTATGGGTACTGTTTTAAAGATACAATAAATTGGGAACAGTTTTAGTAATGAGTTTTTTTGGATTTTCCTTGACACCAATGGTTTTGTGGACCTTGCATTTCTGAATAGTATTTCTTAACAATTTTTTCTGCTAGCCAGAAGCATTTAGAGCTTTTTTTAATGCTTTACTCTGCTCAGGAAGACTGAAGCTTCTCTTCATTGCCTATTTTTTTCATGCCATGGTATGCAAAAAATCTTTACCGAACCAAGATAGGCATTTTGTAACATCTTCTATTTTCAAGCATCCATCCATATTTGTTTAATGCTAAGTGGTTGTATTATGTAGGAAAAACTTGTAATATGGTGTATCTTTGTGAGAAGTGATAATGAAAACAGTCAGCTGTTTAGTTAAGTTGGCAAAAACAAAACCTTTCACGTTTTGGATTCTTGTTTTAAGCACTGAACTTTAGAATATCAGTAGTACCATATTAACCTTTTTGAAGTAAATTTTAGTTTAAAATGTGACAGTAGCGATGTTTAGGATGAACATGCAAGATTTTCAGCAGTATTTAGAACATTTTGTGCATTTCTGTATTGCTAAAGAAGTCTGTTGGAGAAATACCTGTGTAGCCCAAAATATTAGAAGGATGTTCAAGGAAGGATGGCATAGAATTTAAAAACAGTAAATTTGATACAGGTGTTTTTTCTTTAACAGGAACACGACTTTCCCACAGAGACAGTCAAGTTTGGACCAGAGCGCATGTACATTGACTGTTGGGTTAAAAAGCAAACATACAATACTTTCAAGGAAATTTTAGGATCAGGAATGCAGTATCATTTACAGGTATACATTGGAATGAAACTATTTTGACACGCTCTTTGAGTCTGCTCTGTAAATAGCACAATGCAAAATCCCTAAAACAGTTTTTAAATTAGACAATACATGTCTGCATAATAAGGAAAAAAAAAATATAGGCAAAGGATATACTAAATCTTTAGCAATAGGAAAGGCAGCTCTCTGATTACTTTGCAAATTTTGCATATTAAAAGGGAGTTATTTAAAACTTTGGTCAAACATCTGCACAATTGTAATGACAACATGTTTTATGCAGTCCAATGAGCTCCTCCGGAATATCTTTGAACTTGGTCCACCACTGATGCTTGATGAGGCAACCCTTAAGACCATGAAGATAAGCCATTTTGAAAGGGTAAGTGATTCATACTCTGTTGGGTTAAATTATCTTAAATGCAATTCACTCACATAATTGTTCAAAAGCATAATGACATGGTAATATTTATGTAGGGAGAGGAGGGAGTAATGTGAATAGAAGGAATGACAAGGGTTTGTGAGACCTCCTAAATTGATAACAGTATCCCATCACTGTCCCTTGCACAGACTTATTTTTGACTTAAAAGTTTGGTTCGAGTTAAAAGAATGCTAAGATAACCCAGTGAACGATCCAGTATCATTCCTTTATTCTATCCTATGTTCTTTTTATAAGATAGTCCATTGCCTGTATTATGACTGAAGTGGTAGTGTCTTGTATTTGACATCTGGGAAATGTGATGGGTGTCAGAATATGAATTTTCAAGGCTGCCATCATTAACAGCTAAATTTTTACTTTGTAAGTGTGTGATTGTATTAATATTTGTTTATTTAAAAAATTTAAAATGGCTGCCCATCTCTTGTGAGTCATTAAGCCAAAACCAACTTAATACAACAACACAGTTTAAATGCTAGAATGAGTAACATTTGGTAAAATTTCAGATTTCGGTGGAAAGGTTGAGTTACATTTCCAGTACACATTTTACGTCTTTTGCATATAGAGATTTTGTAAACTGCGATGTCTTGATAATAAATATTCTAATGATTTTTCTTTAATTTAGGATTACTGAATGAAAACAGCTGTTAGAATTTAGTACAGAAAATAAAGCCAATTTAAAGTTGGGAGTGGAATGTAGTTCTAGCGCAAAATAAAAAAAATTCTAATTTATATGCATTAATGGAAAATACATTAAAATGGACCTGTTGAATAAACCCCAAAGTTGTCAGAAAAATGTTTAATGTTGGCTAAGATTATTATGATATATAATTGCACTTTCTCTCCTGTTTTCATAGCATCTGTACAACTCCGCAGCATTCAAAGCTCGGACTAAGGCTCGGAGCAAATGCCGTGATAAAAGGACAGATGTGGATGAAGTGTTCTAGAACAAGTCTTCAAAGCCCTTTAACGTGGTTTTTTTTGTTGTTGTTGTTAAATATAATTCTTGTTTGGGTACAGTTAATTGCAGTGTACAGAGTTAAATAATCTTTTTAATTGTGTCAGTTCCATATTTTGTACACCACTTGATGTTTGTTAAACTGACTTGTATAGTATAGTATAAATGAGGTAGGATGGTAGGAGAGAATTTCCTGATAAATATATTGGGTAAAAATCAACTTTTTACTTAGAAAAATACTTAATATTCAACTAGTTCTGAGGATACTCCTGATTCAATTTTTTTAATCTAATGAAATCTTAAGAAGTACATTATTTGGAGATCAGTGTCCCTTGGTAAAAGCTGCTATTTGACAACTAGTTACACATTTTAAAAATAAATATCCAATTTATTATAGTGACATCAGCATACTAGGGTAATATTATCAAATTGGTTCTTAATTGGTGTTGGCTGGGCTTTTCCACTTGTTTAGCCTATAGTCAGCCACCAAAAAAGTTGCATGAGCAAAAAAGGAATTTTTTTTTAAACTGCAAAATGATAAAAGGCTATCATATATATGTGCTCTATATTAGGTTTTAGACCTTTTGGGTGTGTCTCATTTGGGAGGGATAATCAGAAAGTAGCTGAAAGAGAATCATTTGAAACAATGTTTTACTATTTTCAAATAAGTGTGGGTTGAAACATTTACTATTAGCAGAGGATGCTATATAGGGCACGTCATTCAATGGGGTGAAAATTTTTGCAATTTTTGTCAGGGGTTCTAAAAATACGTGTTTTTACACTAAAAATTCTAATCTTATTTTTGCAATTATACAATGTTTAGCTTGGTATGGTAAACCCACGTCTGATCATATACCCCACAAAAGCCTCTCGTAAACCAAATAGTGTTAACTTTATCTTCTCAACATTACATCTTCTACCACAAAAAGTAAAGTTTTTTTCTGAATGAATCTTATCTAGCTAAGCAAAATAGAATCCATGTAATCATAAACTAACCAGAAAGCAATTATCTGAGTTACAAAAATGTTTAAATGAGTTTAATCAAGTTCTTGTTTTGATTTGTTCTTCAATATCAGCTGTTCACTTGCTTCTTGGCTTCTGATATATCCCTTGATTTTCTCATGTTTATACACTCTGCTTACTGCCTCTGACCTGTTTCACACATATCTATTGATTGGGCATGATGGGGCCGCTGTGGTACTTGCATTAGTTCATCAATGAGCTGCTTTATTTCTGTTGTAGTCAATTTGCACGTCAAGGTGGCTTTATACACCTTCACATCAGTCAATCAGAGTGGATACTCTGCTGCAGCTCTGAATGCAAGGTGTTTTTCTTGTACATACAGAAAAATCTACCAGCGCGTCTGCACCCCTCTAATCAATTATCTTTTGCACACCAGCTCTTGAATGTCATCTGAACACAAGAGTGTCTGGATTATCATTTCACTGAAAGTGTATCATGCTGAGCGCTGAATAGTTGGCAAAACAGCATCCAATAGAGCTTTCTTTTGCAGTCTGACTTGCTGCAGCTGGAACAACACATGACACTGGTCTTCAATCCAGGAACGTTTCACTTTTATGTTGAACCAGCAAGGGTAGTACACACCAATGATGTATTCCACTATCATTCCTATGTTTTGCCTTTAAAGCCATGTTTTGAAAACCATATTTGACAAAGCCTATTTGCAGTTGTCAACCAGTTTGAATGTCTTGTGGAGCCAATTTCCAGAAGAGCCAGATCTGTGGGAAGTTCTGTACTTATTGTGTGATCCCTACACTTGATCAGTAGAGAGATCCTTTACAATGCTGTTGCTCTGAAATGAGAGGCTCACCAATTGAAACTGATGAATGGGTGGCTGCCCTAGGTTATTTAGAGGAAAGATGGGTCTTTATGTCTCTGTGTAGATTACCATGATCTGAAAATATGTAACCCTCATGAACGACATGTTGGCTCACTTGATGAAGGGAGGAATCTTTACGAAACTAGACTTGAGGGAGGCGTAATACCATATCAGAATTCGATGTGAGATGAGTGGAAGGCTGCTTTTAATTGCCCTCCTGGCTGTTTATATATTTTTTAAAAACTTTTATTGTTAAAAAAGAAAACATTAGTCACGGCAAAACTTTCTGGCCTACTGAATATCCCACAAGGGTGTGGAAATGGACCCAGAGAAAGTGCAGGCTGTTCTAGAGTAGGTACCATCCCGAACTAGCTTACTGAAAACCAAAGTGGGAGGAAAATCTAAGCTCAGCCAACCATTGAAATGGACTATGGAATGCCAAGCGGCATTCAAAAAACGTAAATGGTTTTTGTGGCCCAGCCAGTGCTAAAACAACCAGACGCAAACAAGCCATTTGTAATCCAAGCAGATCCCAGTGATGTGGCTGTGGAGGCAGTACTGTTGCAAGAAAAGGAAAGAATTCCCTCATTGATGCATTGTCAAGAATGCCTCAATACAATAGGTCCAAGGTGGAGGTGGTCAAACCGATGCTCTCTTCACACCAGCTAGCCACTTAAGTAACCATGAGAGCACAAGTGATGGGGCAATCACCCTTGGATGGAATCCTGGCAGATGCATTTAAGGTTGCTCTGAATGATGACGCTTGGTTTAATGTGCATAAAAATATATGTTCCATTCAGGAAGGACTAGTATGGGTAGGAACCAAGCTGTATGTGCCTGCCAGTCAAACACTGGCAGGCAGGACACTTTGGATTTGTAAAGACATTACACCTAATAAAGAGGTAATTCTGGTGGCCTTCCCACAAGAAGTACGTTGAAAGCTATGTCTCCAGCTGTTCTTATCTGTGCCTTAGCTAAATGCAGGCAAGGAAAGACACCAGGATTCTCCCAAAAGATAGCTGAGCCTTCAGCACCCTGGTCAGAGATCTCTATGGACTTTGTTGTAGAGCTCCCTGAAATCTCTGGGAACACAGTCATTTGTGTCGTGACAGACCTGAGCAGGTCTATTTCATTCCTTGCCAAAAAAAATTCCTACAGCTAAAGCACTGGTAAAACTGTTTCTGCACCACATTTACTGATTACATGGTGCCCCACAGCATATAATTTCAGGTAGGGGGGTTCAATTTACTTCAAAATTTTGGAAGGCCTTTTTGGACCACCTTGGTACCAAACAAGGACTGAGTTCATTGCACCATCCTCAAACTAACGGGAGCTCGGACAGAATGAACTCAGTCCTAGAACAGTACCTGCTATCGACTATCAGCAAGATAATTGGACTGACCTGTTGCCATTTGCTGAGGTGGCTTACAACAACACAGTAAACACTAGCACTGGTTTCATTCTGTTCCAAGTAGTTACTGGCCAACAATTTAAGCTTATGCCTGAACTGCCCGTAAAGGATCCACTAGTCCAGGGGTGTCAAACTCATGTTGTCACGGTGACATCACATGACATATCTGGACTTTTTTCTCCTTTGCTTAACGGGGCATGGGCATGCCCAGTGCATGTTGCATCTGGCCCCTAGGCCAGGAGTTTGACAGCCCTGCACTAGCCCCTTCGTTGAAGGAATTGATCTCACAGTTATAAAACACTTGGCCAGTTGTTCACAGGGCCCTGGACAACACTAGGGCCACTTAAAAAATCCAAACAGACAAAAAAAGAACTCAGCCCAAGGACTTTAAGGTCGGGGGTCGTGTTTATTTGTCCACGTGGTTCTTCCAATCCTTACAAACCTCTAAAAGACTAGGCCCTAAATTCGTAGGCCCCTTTCCCATCACACATGTTACCAATCCAGTCACCATGTAACTAGAATTGCCTAAATCGCTGGAGGGTCCAATCTGTCTTTCATTGCAGTTTGTTAAAACCCGAGTCAACCTCGCCTTTATAGCCAACCCCTCCTCTTGCTCCTGAACCCTTTATGATGGAAGGTGAACAGCATTCTGAGATTAAACAGATTCTTGACTCGCAGGTTCATAAAGGGAAGGTTCAATACCTGGTGCCATGGAAGGATTTCCTGAGTCCTCGGAGTGAGTGGGTGGTTGAATCCCATGTCAGAGCCTCTACACTTCCATGCTCAATATCCTAACAAACCAAAATGATTGCATTTTCCATGTTTATCTTGTCCTTTTCTCTTCAGAGATAGATCTTCTAATTCTAGAGGGGTAGCATGTCAGGTCCCTGTCAGATCACTGCCGTACTGGAAGGGAGCAGGAAGGCATTAGAAATAGTTTACGTGCTTTAACTTAGCTGTAACTACCTGGGAGCATGAGGGTGAAGAGGTTAACACCATTTCCATTTACCCCTCCCGACCAGTTCACGCCGGATATTCAAGGCCGCCATGCTCCAAGGATGGCATCTTCACCATGCCACCTTGGTGAAGTCAAAACATCTTTCTGGTAAATGATCGGCTAATGATGGACACTGGATATTGAGGTGGGGGCTGAAGGGGAAAATTAGCTTTACCCTTTGCGCCTGTTTCTCAGATTCTACCTGACTTTTCTGCAATCACTATCTCTCAGTAAAAGTTGCTTTTGAAATGTGACTGGTTTCAAGAGTTTAACTTTCTTGGGAAAGGAGTTGAGGCAGACCCTTACAGGCACAGACAAAAATGCAGAACTATTTTAAGGGGAACAATTCTTTTGGGATGCTCTTTATGGCATAGATTATTAAAGGTGCCCCTGACTATTTAGTATGCTCAGGAAGAGTTGGCATGTTTCAAGTGTGTCTGATGAAATAAGTCTATTGGGACTTATGAAACCTTTTTCTATGTTGCATACCTTCCCCCTGAAAAGATTTTCCCCTAGAGAACCAGTTAGTTCCCACCCTGATAATGTTCTGCTGGTTTTCAGAAACCTGATTATAATGAAGAAGAGGATAATATAAAGTGAAGATCATCAGCCCATTTGTAAATGTGGTAAAATTAACAGTGTTTTACATGTTGGCTTTTAATTTACTGTGTCCAATGAAGTATTTGAAACCTGACAACTTTGCAGAAACGAATACTAAATATAGATGGCAACAACATTCTGCTTCAGGGCTGAGCTTGTGGCTCTCATTAATACATTGGAGTGGATTTGGAGAAGACAAAGGAACAACGCTGCTGATATATGCATTTTCCCAGCATTTTATTGTGAAAGAAAATATAAGATTAATTGAGGATAGTTTAAATGTGAGTAATATTTAGTTCTCTAAGCCTTTAAATGTGTCAAGACTTTATTCTTTCATGAACCGAAGAAGTATTTATTGATGTATTTATTGGTAGCCTTTGCATATTACAGTTATTCATATAACAAGCTTTAGGTATTTCAGATGATATTTAAAGTCAATTGCCATATATTTGTATTAGATAAATATATTTTAATTAGATTTAAGTAGCATCCTGTTTCCTAATTTTGCTTGAGTCTAGTGAAAAATAGAGCATCCCCCTTTAAAATATCAAATAACCTCAATATTGGTGATATAGATTCAGAGGATTGCAGAACATGTTTTCAAATGCAATCTGACCTAGATGTTGAGCTTATCCTGAAGGGCTTCCAAAGAGACAATCCCAAAATAGCAACAACCATGTGGCTATTGGATGTTATTCCTTTCCAACACGTAATATTTTCCCAAAGGAACAATAACCCATCTGTTCTGAATTCAATCAATGTTGCATATATAATTTTCTAATCAACATGGCCCATTCTTTATAATTGGAACCTCTCATTACAGCCCTCAATGGAGCAGAATGAAGTTTTCTGGGTTTTATGATGTCATGATGTTTGAAAGAATCCTGTTTCCACAGTTTTCCCTAAAGAATTGAACATTTTATTGACCTTAAAAGTGGTCTGTGTTTAAGTTCTAAGATTGACAGCAAATAAGCAATCAATGAATCAAGAAGTAGCAGTAAACAAAATTCATATATAGTATTTGTGTAGCATAGGCTGAGTATGCAGTGTAACTCAATGCAAATTTGCAACTAAGCAGTGTAGACAAGGGGAAAAGATAGATTTACGGAATTCAGATCATTTGGAGAGTTTATATATGATAATTCAAATGTGCATATTTAGCCTATGCTGCATAACTAGGACATGTTTCTTTACCTGAGCATGCTTGACTACCACTCCTAAAAAAATCAAACAATCCTTTTTTTTTTCATTTTAAATAAAGTCTGTTGTCATCTCATAGGCATCATGCAGAGTTCTTCTGCAAGTGTGTTTAAAAATTCACATGAAGAAGGGAAACTTTATGCTGTTGATTCATTGAACAATTTAAATGAACATGTTTCTGCAGCTCAAACTCAGCCCCCAAGTATGTATACTACACAATATTTTGTTAACAGTTTTCAAGATTTATGTATGCTGTTTACTTGATGGCATTTAACAAGATAAATATGCTTTCTGAATGGTTTAGAAAAATGAATAGAATAAATAATTAAACAGGAACAAGAAACTCCTGGTCCTCTGGATGATGCTAAATTAGAATTTCCATTAGCACCATTGATCATGCAAGTCAGAGCTGCTGGAAATTGTGGGTTAATAATTTCTGGAGAACCGTTTCCCATCCTTTGAAGAGTAAAATACATTTGGGTTTGTTGAGTTAAAACAAACTAGCTTTTGTCAGGCTGCACCCGAACTGGTGGAAGGCCTGCCCGTTCGGAGCAACCGTGCGGCTCACCTGCACTGGCTGTCTCCCTGGCGATGGGCAGGCAGTTGCAGGTGCTCCACC